CTTTTTAATTCTGGTGGTTTATGTCATCAAAACACAAAACCCTAATTATCTGGTGTTGGTCCCTGGACTGTGATCTTTGTTCTCCTTTGTTTACCACACCCTCCCCGTCCCTTTTGAACCTTCTAATGAAGAGGAGGCACCATAAAGCTTAAATAAGTGTTAAATAACACATATTAATCACCGCTGAGGCAAATGGAAGAACTTCGACTTTATGTTTACACTCATCCTCAATTTAACCGTAATGAGCTGGCCCTGTGCTTTAAGCAGCCTCAGTGCATCCGGAGTGTGCTTGTATTTTATGCAGATCAAAAATACCTGCAAACCCCAGACGCATGTTAAAATGCCTTTATGGAGTCCTGTGGGTCCTCTGCAACTTTTAACACCCATTTATGCTGTCTTGTAGGCCAGATGGATGTGTGTTCCTGAGGCAAATTATTCCTCATTATTTGAGAGCCGAATGAATGCTTTTAGTGCTCCGAGGTACATTAATTCATTTGCAAGGAAAAAACACACCTTGTTTTTTTTTTTGTTTTTTTTTCCCTAAAATGCCATTTTTATGACTGCAGCAGTCACAACCCACAGTGGAGGGAGTTCAAGCTGCTCGGCGGGAGGGAATGACGCATGACAAATGTAAAACATAATTATTTGTAATTAAACAGTTAAGTGAAGGATGGGTGATGTGCGCACACACACACACACACACACACACACACACACACACACACACACATACAGGCACACACTCTAACAAACATCTTTATCTCCCCAGCGGGTTGTTGAAGAGATTGATCAGGTCTGCATGACAGGTTGGAACAAAGCTCAGATTTGTTCTTCAGCTCTTTATGCCTCTGTGCCGGAGACAGCCGTGACCGGAGGCATTATGTGTTCGGGTTGCCCATTCTCATGAACGTGATATATCAGGAATGCCTTGAGGGAATTTCATTGCAACCGGCACAAACATTCACTTGGACTCACAGATGAACTGATTAGAATTTGGTGGTTAAAGCTCAAAGGTCAAGGTCACTGTGACTTTACTAAACATGTCTTTGGCCATAACTCAAGAATTTATGTGCTAATTATGACAAAGTTTCATAAGTAATGTCTAATAGGATAAAGTGCTGAAGTGATTAGATTTAACCTCTGGAACAATCAAAGGTCAGCTTCACGTTGGCATCATGTAAGTTTTGCTATGGCTACATAGCCAGTGTTACACTTACCAGTCTTCCCAAGAGCTTCAGCCATCGTTGCATTTACAATAAAAACACGTCTCTCTGAGCAGCGCCACCTCTTCAGAGCAGACCGGACTCTACAGTGACTCGGTATCAGAAAGTGATGAGACAGGCCGACCGCTCTGGAGCTAGCTGGTTAGCATGCTAACTTCAGTAGAGGAAGATAAATGATAGAAACAGAAGCAAAACAAAAGGGTTGCTTTCCACTGCTGGAGACGACTCTTAGTGAGCAAAGGGATGAAGTTTGATGCTGAACTCAAGCAACGTTTCTTCTAGACTGCTAAGTAAACAGCTGCTAATGCTAACGTTAACTATGTAGCAATAGTGAAACTATAAAAATAGCTGCTTTAATACCCTCACAAATCTTCTCTAGATATATTATGTGAGTGTGGACAGACATGATATAAACTGCAGCTTGGCTGGTTAGCGGTAATTCGACTTGTGCTGTGTGTTCCTCCCGCCGCAGCGGGCAGATAAACAACCTTTCATCCATCCGTTGTACTATACCACATATAGAGTTTTATGGCACTGTTTTCTTCCTGTTACAGCTGGGCTTGGTAATCACAGTAATTGCAGAAGAAATCATATTTTTATGTTAACAGACTAATGGTTCTTGATTATAGTTGCTAATAAGCTGCTGTTTCATTACTAAGGATTTAGGACGTCTTTAAAGGTTCTTTTTTGTCCGTGTGTGTGTGTGTGTGTGTGTGTGTGTTTGATGGTGCTTGTAAATAAATGAATATTTCTTAAGAGCAGGCATAGAATACGAAAGCTCTACTGCTCTACCACATTTTACACTGAATGTGTGGAAATGGAAATACTGGAGGGCACTACAAAGCACCAGTTACAGTAATACAAACCCTGAACTACCTCACAGTGTCACTCCAGGGGCCACGTGCGTTAAAAGCAGTGAATACATTGGCAGTATTGTAAATTCTGACCTATATTATGAGTCATACCAGCCTATTAATTAATGGGGCCAGTGTATGTTTCTGATCTCATGGGCATTATTATTCCCTCATTACCCTACACACTTGTTTGGCAACAAGCAAATATATTTACCTGTGCATGAATAACATTACGCTTGTAGAAAGATTATGTTAGCATATACAAGTTGTAGAAGTTAGAAGTTATATACTGAGTCTACAGTTGTGTCTTTGCAAGATTACCATTACCTGTCACACTCAAAGATCTGTGCATGTACTGTATGTTAGAAAGGCTGCATGTGGGTGTTTTCTTATGGCAAGGCCCTATTTGAAATATTACCAGTTTCTGTGCGTGTGCTTTCTTTTGCTGCTTCATGCTTCACTCATGGTAAACAGTACATCTGGACTAGATCCAAAATTAGAGTAAATGAATGCAGCTGCTGCAAAAGAAAGGCAAGAAAACACTTTACTACTCCGAGCAAATAGTTCAACAGACAGGCCACATTGTTTAAAATGACATCCAGCAATGCAGCAAAAAACTTATGTGTTATGCTCAGGAACCTCCCCTTAAAAATGTAACTTCAAGAATGACAATTACTTGTCCATTTAATGTTTTTTTTTATTTTGGTCCCTGTCTTGACTGATGTCACTTGACTCATATTTCAAAAGCCTGTTTTGAACCTCCACACAACTCTGAAAGCCCTTTTATTTCCTGCCCTTTCACACCGCAGGAGCAATTATGCTACTTCCATTTCATCTTGCCTTTTGAGTCCACACTTCTGCACTCGGATGACAAGACATTGATGAGGAGTTTCAGGGCAATTTCAGAAGTCTGTATGAACAGCATTGTTTCTTCAAAGCCCGCCGAGAGCCGGTCCATGTGACCAGTTGTGTGTGGCCTTGGGTCCCCCTGTAATATAAAAGGGAGAGCAGTGGAGGAGCAGCTACCTTTGAATCTGTATGACTTTCTCCCCACTTTGAGAAATGAAGTGTTTAGAATATACTTTATGCCTCGGAGAAAAATTGTGATGGTTCATCTTCGAGCGCTTAATATTCATCTTCATTTTGCACGCTTCTGTGGGAATTCCAGATTAATTCTCTGCCCGTAGAATATTGAAGCTGGAGGCATTGAAACCACAAATATTATCTTTTATTGTGGACATAACGCATTTATGGCTTTGTTTATGACTGGGAGATTTGGTTTGCATGAAAGTAACTATCTGAAATGACCCTCATTAAGTCAGGCTGCAGAGAACATTTGGTGTAATTTTAGATTGTGCAGACTGCTTTACACAACAAATATATATGAATGTTGTCAACTTTGTCTGGCTTACTGTTGAGCTATCTATATGTCCTAACTCTTTCTGTGTCCGAACCATGTCTGGCTTCAGTGAATGATGTGAAAACTACATTTTGTCCTCTGCAGTGTCTTCTACCTGTCTTCAGTCATATAATATTGAGCCATTTTCTAATAAGGCTCCTTTTATAAAGGTGTTAAAGGTTGTATCTATGTCTTTATTAGTTGTTAATAACTTTATCAACAATTCATTTGATAACTTTATTTGATAACTTTTCAGTTGCCAGGTTGCAGACAATCCGGACCAATGTACATCTGTAAATCTTCTTATCTCCAGGCTTGATTAATAATCCTGTCGTCCTGTGGATCATTGTTCTCTTGTTGGCCTTCGTGTTACCGCTTCATCATGCTCCACTGTTTAGTTCTTGTTCTTGTTCCTGCCTGGTTTTATTTTGGATTCCTGGTTTTGTAAGATTTTGTTTTTGTCATTAAACTTCATGGTTGTCTGCATTTTGGGTTCAGCTATCCTTGAAACCTGACAGATATACCACCAAAATGGGATTTTGTATAATCTGGCAACACCCAGATTTGTTTTTACTGATAGCTTTTCTCTATAAAGCTGTACTGAATTATTTAATAACCATTAGTGAAGCCATTAGGTGGCACTTATGAAAACTTAACCACGGGTGCTTTATTAGAAAGTGGTGCCTGTAATATTAAAAAAAAAAAAACATTCACAGCCTGAAGTTCACTTTAGCAGCTCACCAAGGCCATGACGCCTGCTCCTCTGTTGGTGATTTCCTCTATTTTATAAAGTAAAAGCAAATCCATTATTACAAGTTGCTCTGTGCAGAGCAGTGGGATGATCATAAGCATGTGTGTGCCAAGTTTTGAACTTGTCTGTGTCCAACAACTGTTGATTTAAAGTCCAATAACAGGGTGGCATAATTACACATTCCACAAATTAAAACATTTTCAATTTTCCCTTTTATTCATTAAGTTGCTCTCGGACATTTTGGACAGTGCCTTTTTAAAACACATCCTATTACTCTATTTGCACTAACTTCTATCTGTTCCCATTTAGCTTTTTATACTGAAACATCATAATTTTATATCCCCCCTCATTAATTTGTCTCAAGGTCATGAATATTTCATATCTGCTTTAATGTAGTATTTAGAGCTCTAATTGAGAGGGTGGGTACACACTTTCTCTAAGTACAAAGTTCAAGCGTATATGCATATTACTGCAAGGTGCTCTGGAAGCACTCATTGAAAGACATATAATTAGTGACCAGTGGAAATGTAACAACGGCGCTTTCAGATTGAGTGTCTTGCTTTGTTAAGTTTGTGTGGTGGGCTTTGAAAGGCTTTCTTTTAAACAAAGGTAGCAGGATTTCTCAGCCCACACAGGGGCACAGCATCCATTAATTTTGAGATCTGCTATCACCACCACTGCTGCAGTTACAGTGTTTTTGCACATTGGTAGTGACAGTTATTATTATTATTAAATCTTGTCTCCTGATTTTAACTTTCCATCTCCATGTGCAGGTGGTATTTTTGAGACCCGGGAAAGTGAGTTAGTGAGTATGGACGAGCTGGCGTTCAAGTTTGCTGTAAATAACATAAACCGCAACAAGACCCTGATGCCCAACACCACCCTGACCTACGACATTCAGAGGATCAACCTCTTTGATGGCTTTGAAGCTTCCAGGAGAGGTATGGAAGGATTTTAAGACACAATGTAGCCCCCCCCCCCATTTAGCATTTATACACAGTATACAAACTTTCTTTGGGTAACAAGTAGCAGTGGAAGAAGTATTCAGATCTTTTCCTAAAGTAAATGTACGAATACCAAACAGTAAAGTATTTTAAAATGTCGATCAAGTAAAAGTATGTTAATATAATCAGGAACAGTATTAAAAGTAAAAGTACTGTGACTGTTAATAATGTTATACTTTATATCATTAAATTAGTCATACACAATGTGTAAGCAGCAATTTACCGTGCTGGCTTAGATAGAACTCATTTTAACTTTATTTTTTTTCATGAAAGGCTTCAACTAATGATTATTTTCATTATGGACTAATCTGCTAATTATTTTCACAATAAATTGCTTTGTTTGAAGATAGTGAGAAATGCCCACACTGCTTGTTTGATGAAATTATTTATATAATTACATAATTACAAGGAAAAAGCAATAAATTCTCACATTAGAGAAGCTGGAGCCATGAAAAGTTGTATTTTTATTTATAGCCTATATTTTATAATACTCAAGTAAAGTTCCTCAAATTTGCACTAACGTACAGAATTTGAGTAAATGTACTTAGTTACATTTCACCAGTGGTAAAAAGGAAATATGGCTCAATTAACCCCAAACCAAATGTTAAATCATATAATTAGTGTTGCTCAACTTTTTTTCCATAGAAAGTGAGCCAGGTTCACCAACCTGCGATCAGCAACCGCCTAACTTTGCGTTGTTCTTCACCACCAGTGTGTGACCAGCTAGCTCTCGGGGTGGTTGCTGTGTTCGGTCCTTCACACAGCTCCTCGGTCAGTGCTGTTCAGTCCATCTGCAATGCCCTGGAAGTCCCTCACATCCAGACCCGCTGGAAACACCCGTCAGTGGACAACAAAGACACCTTCTTCATCAACCTGTACCCTGAGTACACCGCCATCGCCAGGGCCATCCTGGACGTAGTCAACTTCTTCAAGTGGAGGAAGCTAACAGTGGTTTATGAAGACAGCACAGGTAGGGCCATTGTTTTCACTGGTCAGACTCTAACTTTCAAAACTGAGTCACAAGATATCATTATCTTATCCGCCATTCATTTAATGGGACATAATGAAAGGCAAACCTGATTTAGTCAGCAGAGTAGTATAAAACTAAGTTATAGCAGGGTGATATGAATTTGACTAAATAAATTGCAATGTATGAATGAATTATTTTTGCTTCCAGAAAATATGTTTTACATTACAAGAAACTTTTGAGGAAGGAAAACATGACTAATGTGGGTGTGATGATCAAACAGGAAGATGCTCAGAGCTTATTTCACACTGCTACAACAAGTTAGGAAAACACAATATCTGTTTTATCACCTTATTACGATAACAAATGTGTCTCGTATTATCATATCAATATCATATTAATGTTTCACCCAGCGGTACACCTGAAGACTGTATTTAGTTAATGATTTTATTTCCCACTGCATTACTGGATATCAGCCAAAACACTACATGACATTTGAAGTGAAGAACCGATAGGGAGAAGGGGTCAAAAGTGCCGCCTTGTGTTTTCTGGACCTTACAATATATTCATATGTCATGGTTATAATTACTCCCAAAATGCAATTCTGCTTGTCGATCACAGTCACCTTCCTCATGCTGGCCAGTGAACCCAATCTGTTGGAGGGCACCGGTTCCTCATATCAAACAGCTGCCAGTCTTCCTGCCCTCTGACTTCACACTGTGTCGAGCCACACCACAACACAACATCCAGCGGCGTCCCATATAGATTACGAAATGCCGCTGCTGAAATGTCATAGTTTATAGATTTTTTTCTTTTTTTCTTTGCCTTTTATTTTCAATCGGAAATTTATTTTTCTGAAATGTCACGTAGCAACACACCTGCTCGATTACACACTGTCGTGCACACACATGTACAGGATACAGGAATGTGGTGCGTGCGTACAGGTGTGTGTTTGTTCTCCTTTGTTGTGATTAAAAACAAAGTAGAAGAAAATAGGAAAAGTTAAGCAAGAGGAGGAGGGAAAACGAAAACGAATGTCCAAGACGGGATAAAATGAGAGTTGTGACTTGCTGTTGTGCAGGCCTGATGCGGATGCAGGAGTTGATCAAGGCTCCAGCAAAGCTTAACTTGAAGATCAAGATCCGCCAGCTCACACCTGGTAACCAAGACGCCCGACCGCTGCTAAAGGAACTGAAGAAAGACAAGGAGTTTTTCATTATCTTTGACTGCTCCTATCGCATGGCTGGAGAGCTCCTTAAGCAGGTTGTTGTTTTCAACACATTTTTGTGTCATTTGGGGACAACACAATGTCTCTTTTTATGTTGTAGAAAATCTTCTGAAACCTATTATCTTGTTTCGGTACAGGTATTTTGTTGTGATTTAAATTGCAGCCGTTAAAAGATATGGTAAATAAACCAGGATGAAAAAAAACTTTCCCCTTATCACTGTCAAAATTTTTAATGGCCCACAACTTATTGTTCATCACACAGATTGTTACTATTTGGGCAAAGCTACTTTAAATTAGATGGTAATGTACAGCAGTTGGTAACAGACAGTTTCTGTTGTCCTAATATGTCACGTTATTTATTTGTTGATCTATATTTCAGTTCTTGAATCATGTTTTGTTATCGTTGTGGTGTGGTTATTTGTGTTGTATATATATATATATATATATGCATAACATATTGGACGCACCATGCAAAATAGAAATGACCAGCCGGATTACTTTGTTGGTTGTTGAAGATATGACATTGTAGCTGTAGAGATTTGCTGGAGAACTCTTTACATTTGAAATAAGCAACATTTATTTCTTCTTTTCATTGCGCAGCTTTCGTCAATGGGAATGATGACAGAGTACTACCATTTCTTCTTCACGACTTTGGTGAGTTAGAAAAATGCACAGCTCAAGTGGATTTATGGGAGATATAGGAGACCAAGTGTTTGTATGTAACTATAAAACCAAGCTCATCTTCTGTGTCCTCATTTGGCCTTGAACTGCCTTCTACACACACACACACACACACACACACACACAAACTCATCCCTCCTGCTCCTCATCTCCACCTCCTCTCTCGCCCTTGCAGGATCTGTTTGCGTTGGACTTGGAGCCGTACCGCTACAGCGGGGTCAACATGACCGGTTTCAGACTGCTGAACATAGATGACCCGTGGGTAGCCTCCACAATGGAAAAGTGGGCCACGGAAAGGCTGCAGGGTCCCAAACAAGAGAGTGGCCTGATGGATGGAATCATGACTGTAAGCCTCAATACTGTTTGTATGCTGCATGCACGTTTGCATACAAACATCTGCTGACCTTTGTCTTTGCAGGAGCTGTGTCTCAGCGTGATGAAGCTGTACTCCTCAGTTACATTTATTCCATCAGTATATCTATCCTATGTCCTGTTTATTTCTCTTATGGCATAATTTTCCTTGGGGGAAACATCCCAGTCGCAACTGTAGTTCTGTATTGCACGTGGCTTTTAAAGTGTAGTGTAAGGGGAAAAAATAAATGAAAAAAAAAAAGAATCCCAACAACATCTTCCTCTCGACGCCCCCTCCGCAGACAGACGCGGCCTTGATGTATGACGCGGTGTTCATGGTTGCTGTTGCGTCCCAGCGAGCCACTCAGATGACCGTCAGCTCCCTGCAGTGTCACCGCCACAAACCCTGGCGCTTCGGACCGCGCTTCATGAACCTCTTCAAAGAGGTCAGTATTAATCGAGGGCTCGGATCACACAGAATCACCAGCTCGACTTAAGAAGCCCCTTTCGCTTTTCAACTTGACCATCATACATTTTTGACGATGTGTCTCAGCTCCAATATCCACCATGTAACGCCTCCGTGGCAAACATGGTAAACTGTATGTCAGACCACTGCGTGTGTTGTGTTACTTCATAGGTCCCCTCCGACATTGGCCACGCTTTCCTTCTGAATGTACACAACCTGAAAATATATACGGCATTTATGTACGTATGGGTTGAAAGCATGTGGCCCGGCCTGACTGTCAGAGTGGATGCCTACAGACAGAAATGAGGCCTTTGATGCATGAGTGTTTTGATCTCTTAAGTCTTAAATCCAGCAGAGGACCGCTGCCTGCCATGGAGAGGGAACATTATCATTCAATCCCCTCACTCATATTTTCCTCCTCATGTACCCCCCTACAATTCTCCTCCTCTCTCTCTCTCTCTCTCTCTCTCTCTCTCTCTCCTTCTCTTTCTTTGCATCGCAGTCTCTCTCTCTCTCTCGTCTTTAGCTTTTCGTTTGGTTTGCCCCCGCCCATCCTTTGAAGCATCTGTCCTCCTGTGCTATTCATCACTAGATAAGAGCCCTTTTGATTGCAAGAACCAGTAATATCTCTCACACAGCACTCAATTAAAATCCATTTCTGACAAGAGATCGCAGGATATAAGGACACAGCTTTCAATTCAATGACTGAAATTAAATCCTGGGCACTGTAACCTGCGTGCGCTCTCTTTCTCCTGGCTATTGTGGTGAACAATACTCTGTGTGTTTCTGTGGACAAAATTGAACTGAATTCGACTCAAAATGTGTGAGCAATTTAATGTTACTCAGTGTGCATCATTTCACGTCAGAAAAGAGGGTAATATCCTGGGTTTTAATGTTCGTTCCGACAACAGCAAGAAGATATTTCACTTTATGTCTTTTTAAGCTCATTTTGATCAATTTTCCTTATTCAAGTTCATAATGTCTTTACTACGAGACGCGTTCCTTCCAAGAAACTCTTCTAAGAAAAGGATGCAGGAATTTTCACATGAGAAATAAAATGTGACTGTATAATGATTCAAGCTGAAATAATGCACCATACAGTAAGTAACAAATTCAAATGTTGAGTGAAATGATGCAGGAAAAGGGTAAATGTCTAAGTCTAAGTCTCGTTGTGCAGCATATGAAATGATGTACATGCTCTGAGGTTAACAGACAGACAGGCATATATAGAGAAACTGGGCAGGTGTATGTACAGATGTAGACATGCATAAATATATAACACTGTTTTGAATATTAGCCTTTAGCATTTCTATATCAACTCAGATGTATTATTTGAATATACCTGCAGTTTGAAAGGTGAGTAAATGTTGTTAGTATTGCTGTCATGAACACAAACTGTCATGCATAATGAGATTGTACCACAGGACAGTCTGTAGACGTCTCCCAGTCTCCACCTGATGTGATCCTGTGAGTCTCCCAGCCGCCTGTCTGGCTTCTTCTCACCGCCTCCGTCACCTTCACCGTGCTCCAAAGCGTCAGTCAGGCTCCGCACAGACAAGGAACTCACTTCTCTCTGCATCTCCTCTCTGTAGGCACAGTGGGATGGACTGACAGGGCACATTGTTCTTAATAAGACAGATGGCCTGAGGAGAGACTTTGATTTGGACATCATCAGCCTCAAAGAGGACGGCACTACCAGGGTGAGCACAGAGGTCTGGAACAGCCAATTACACCACTCTCATGCTGCTTCCACGCTGGCTGATTCTTTCCATTAAGGCGTGTGTGTGTGTGTGTGTGTGTGTGTGTGTATGTGTCTGTGTGAATGAAAGACAGAGAGGTACTATGTACATTTTGTTTCCTATAATTCATCCACACATTTATTATTTGGTTTACATGAATATCAATAAAGCTCCAACAACTGATTATTTCTTTCCACACTGTCTGTGCTTCACATGTCGCCTTCTTCACACTTTCAAAAGGGTATTGTGGAGGGCGGAAGTCGCCTCACGAAAAGGTGGATCAAGGTTTGTGCCAGTGCCTTGTTTGGCCCGAGTGTTTGTTGTTTGCCTCCCCTCCTCTCCTCTCCTTCTTTTTTTTTTTTTTTTCTTGCTCTGTATGCCGCGCACCTCCCCGCTCCTTGCCTTGTCAACCTTGTTTCTCTTCACTGATTCTGTGTACAGCAATGCCATGTACTGTATTTGACATTTCAGTTTTCCCCGTGTTTGGGTCCAGTCATGGCGCTGACACTTGTCAAAACTTCATCAGCAGTGGTAGAAAAAAATATGAAAGTCCTTCTTGTTTGCGTAGTCATAATAATACTTCCACTAGGAGTGAGAGTAGAAAAGCCCTGCAGTTTCACTCAATGCAAAGTCATTCAGCTCCTACAGCTGGTGGCTGTGAGACAGAAAGAAAGAAATTTATCCTCCAGATCCTTCACTTTCGCAGAGTCCACTACTTATAATGTGCTTTACTATTAGCCTGCCTTCACACTTTCATGGAAATCTCACAGGCTAGCGGTGTTTAATTGCGGCCGAGAGGGATCCAGTTAGCAGAGGAGACGACAGCTTAAAGTCGGGCATCAAGCCTTGCCGCGAGAGGAGCAGATTCCCTTTGTCGGTGTTTCACTAACACACGGGCCAGAGCACAAGTTAAATGCTCACTCCAGTGTGATTACATGCATCAAATGCATCAAATCAACCTTGTTCTTTTTTATCAAATCATCCCTGTCTTTGTCAGTCACTAGCAGTGTTCTTACTGACTTTAACTCCTCTTAATTAAGTTTCACAAAATATACTGTAAACACCGAAGTGACAATTAAATACTCTGCTTATCACCTTGAGAGCAATAATGAATAAAAGAACCAATGTTGAATTAATTCATCCCCTCAAACACACAGACAGGTATGTGGGCAGGCAGCAGCTGTCAAGGTGCAGAAGCATTGATTTATACTTTCATTTTTTAATTCCATTCAGTACTTTTAGCCCTCAAAAGCCTCGCCTCGGAGGAAATACCACTGTAGGGTTGGCACATGTGCAAAAAAAAAAAAAAACGTTTGACTTTATGGTCATGAAAAATGAATTATCAGTCCGTAGCACTTGTGTTAGTTCTTGGGCACTGGAGTGTTAAATACACTCTGAAGAGGATGATGGGACTAAACAAAGTGAAAGTCTCCAGGGAAATAAGTTATTTTCTCTTAAAGTTGTTGACTTTCTGGAAATAAGTTTTTTTTTTTTCCCCCCTCTCAGCTTTCTTGGCCGGGCTTAAGTGTATCTCCCGCTCTGTTGTAACGCTTTTCCAGTCTGATTCGGTTCTGGATGGAGATGAGCTTTAGGATTCATAGATAACATTTTACTCCCAGCATATGGGAGAGAATCCCTGTCAGTTTTTATAGCACACTTTGTTGTTGGGAGCTGCTTTGGTATACGCACGATAAATTTGCAAGGCTACCCGCAGTAAATCTGTGATTTAGGAGTTTAAAAGATGATGACTGTATGCTGTGTAGTCATCCTGGGTCGTATTTCAGCAATGATTTCATTGGCTTGGTCAGATTATTGTATTACTTAAACTTCAAACTGACTAAACCCTCATAGAGGATGATATTTGCAAAACTGTTCTACAGCACCAGCTAGATAATGTGAAACCACTGGGGAACCAAAATACCCTCCGCACTTCCCAAAATATTGTTCTTACTCTGTCCATTTATCTTTGAGATTGAGGACAATACAATTAATTAAATCCAACCCCATTCACTGTGTTGCTCATCTGCGGTGTCGAGAGATAAGACAGATTTATGGACTCCTGCGCAGAGTGGGCCCTTGCAAAAGTGCCACGGTGGAGATACAGAGTGCTTTTAGCAAGGTTATAAGTGAGAACATTTTCTATCTGTCTGACTCGGGGAACAGAATAAGATAGAACGTAATGAGGAGTGAAAAGCATGTTATCTTCTCCAATAGGTAATCCCACATAGCCCTTTTCTGAAAAATAAATGGCGAAAAATAAGACTGTACCTCATCTTAGTTTAATAAGAGGTACTGATGCGTTCACTTGCACTCATCCTCTTATGCATTGGAGGAATGAACAGGCCATTGTTTCTGACTAAAAATACCCAAATTCATTACTTTATGTTCACAGTCTTAATGGCAAAAGGAGAAAAGCTTGTTTCAGTCGCTCGCTTTAGTTCTGTTAACAAAGAATCCTGATCATTTAATGCACTTAACTTTATTGCATCACAGCCATGAGCCCCCTTGACCTTTGGTCAGCTCTTAACCAGTGAGGGGATTTGAAAGGGTCAAAATCCAGCTGCCAGACGCCTGTCCTAATCTGATAACTGTCTGGATTATGCCGCCTCGGGGACACTCTCATTCACAGTTACTGTGACAGTGCGGAGGGCTGGAGACACCATGTCGTCCTCTATTCCCCCTGATCCTGCCCTTCCTCATTCATGCTGTCCCTGCTGGTGTGATTTCCCCACTCCTCCCCATCACATTCAAGCAGGGCTGCAACTAACGATGCTTTTCATTATTGATTCCTCTGTGGATTATTCTCTCAATTAATCATTTGGTCTATCAGATGTCTCGTTTTGTGCAACTAGCAGCCAAAAACCTAAAGATATTCAGTTCATTTTCACACAAGAAACAGAATCTGGACAACTTTGGCATCTTATCTTAAAAGCAACTAAATTAATTAATTAATAATGATTTTGTTCATTGTTTCAGCTTATTCATATTCAGGTAAAAATATGCACATTTGTTTACTAGCTATATGTATATATTTTTTCATTTTCAGTACAGTGTATTCAAATTTAGACTTCCTGCTGTCAGTTGGATTTTCTTTTAGCTTCAAACAGAATGGAATATAAAGGCTAACAGATGTCCACGCCAATCCCAAGCAATAATTCATCAAAACATTTGCCATGAAACCCAGCTTTGTTTTTTCTGGCTGTACAATATGTCCAATACCTGGGAGTCAGATCAATCACTGCACACAGCGGGAGTGATATTGCTTTGCTGTAAACTTTTACCTGGTGCACCCAATCAGCAGCTCCGTTTTTTTTTTTTTTTTTAACAAACCACTTCTTCATTTTCATATTCACTGTATATAAAATGAGAGTTTCCGGCACTTTGCCCAGAATCATCAGAGCGAAGCTGAGCAAAAGGAAACGCTGTAGAATAGTGGATGGAGCAGAAGGTTGAAAAGGAGCCAAGAGTGTCAGGTCTTTTAACCTCTTTTACTTCTTTTTCATTTTTCTGTTCGACGAATCAGAAAATATGATTAATACGCAGTGTATTGAAGCAGTTCCTAGTTTCCTGTTAAGTCTAAATCAGGCTCTGTATATTTGGTAGGAAGAATAATAAGAATAATCAATCAGCTTCTTCGCTTTAATGGCAACGACTTTCAGAGATGATATAAATACAGCTTCATTCAAAGCTCAAACAGAAGCAAACATCTACTGTGTACTCTGCAGTTTTATCTTGAATTGTGGCTCCAATAGCAGCCGTCAAATGTAACTTCCTGTCGTTCAAAGCGCAAAATGTGTTTCAATAAATCTGAAGCCCTGTTTGTCTTTGCAGATTGCCGTGTGGAACTCGTACAAGGGGATGAACCTGACGGAGAAGTCCGGCCGAGACAAGAATAACAATGTGACAGACTCAATGGCTAACAGGACTCTTATTGTCACCACAATACTGGTGAGGAGGAAGGAGGAAGGTTAAACAGAGGACAGCATAGGGAGAAGGAGGGGAGTATACATGTGAGGATGTGTGGAGTGCAGATAGAGGGACAATAGAGGAAAATACCCAGAGAAGAGGGAGGGAAACGGGGGGGAAGGAGTGGTGTTGAGGTGAGGAAAAATGGCTGCTGAGTTGAGTGGTTTGGATTCCTTTTTTTCACACAGAAAAAAATCAATCATGGAAAAAAGTATATTTTCAATAATCACTGTTATACGATATACAATATATAAACTTACTCATTTTTAACTTTGCTATTACTATAACTTAGCTCATTTTAACTAGTGCTCAGACAGCATGGAGACAATTGAATCAAAATAAGAAATATCTCTTGAAAATGGTCAAATGCAGCGTTTTCTGTTGTTTTACAGGAAAATCCATATGTGATGCATAAAAAGTCAGACAAGGAGCTGGTCGGGAATGATCGCTTCGAGGGCTACTGCCTGGACCTGTTGAAAGAGCTCTCCAACATCTTGGGTTTTACGTATGAAGTCAAACTGGTGGCTGATGGGAAATATGGAGCCCAGAATGACAAGGGAGAGTGGAACGGGATGGTCCGAGAGCTGATCGACCATGTGAGTTAACAGTTTTATGTATGGTGTAAAAAGACCAATACGTCCCTCTGAAATGTAATGGAGTAGAAGTAGAATACAAAAATACTCAAGTAAAGTACAAGTACCTCCAAACTTTACTTCAGTATAGTACTTGAGTAAATATATTCAGTTAATCTCCACTTACTTGTCTGCATGGCTGACTTGCTCCTGACCAGATTAGATTTAGGATACCATCTCCTCATGACTCAGCTCTGCTCCCGAAAGGATCCTGATTTGGACAAAATTACTGCTATTACAGTAAACTGACAAATAATATATAGAAGTAGTCGACAGTTGAGTTCACAAAGCTTGTCTGATGTGTTTATAGACCAGTAGGATCATCTGTCTTTGATATGTCAATGGGAGATACAGTACAATCAATGGTCTTAGGACAGGTCTTTGGACCTGTTGCACCCTCCGGCTGTGTAAATGGGGCTTTTAATAATGAATGAATTTTACTCTTACATATAAAAACACTGACTGAAAAATCTCCAATTTCCCTCCATTAATGTCTAGTAGCTTTTTGTATTGTTCTGTATCGCTCGTGTTTGTTTCTTCAGTAGAGAGGAACACAGTTTAACCAGGTTTATTATATGTTGTTGGTTTATTGATGCATAGATATTTGGCAGTTAGATTGTCAGATATGGGACAAACTGTTCTACCTGTAGCATCCTACCTCGTCTTCTGGCTTCTCCAGGTTGCAGACCTCGCCGTGGCTCCCTTGACCATCACTTATGTTCGAGAGAAGGTCATCGACTTCTCCAAGCCCTTCATGACCTTAGGTATCAGCATCCTGTACCGCAAACCCAACGGCACCAACCCGGGCGTGTTCTCCTTTCTTAATCCCCTGTCTCCGGACATCTGGATGTATGTGCTGCTAGCCTGCACAGGAGTGAGCTGTGTGCTCTTTGTGATTGCCAGGTAAGAGGATTGATGCTTGTGATAATGAGATGATGTCTGATGGGATGGGGTGGAAAAATATAAGGGTTGTTAAGGGTAAACAACCCTTACATTTATATATAGATGGTGACTGCTTACTGAACTGTCCTTCACCAGTGCCAGCTTTGCTTCAAGCTTTTTTTGTTAATAATTCAAAGAACATGAAAACTGTGAGCTGGTGCCAGCATTGAGCTTTGTAGAACAATGCATGCCTGATGTATCACATTCATATTCACACGACAAGAATCAGAAAAAGTCTGGAATAACTGGCCTGACTGTACTTCTGCAAATTTGGCACAGTTATCCTAATATAAGCCAAAATATGCTTTTGGCTGCCCATCAAATGCCAGACTGGCTTTCACTGTGGTTGTTAAGTAGTTGGGAGTAATTGCGCGCCCGCTCTTCACCTCCTTCTCAGGTAGTGTGTAAAAACCCTGCAAGTGGGTTGCACCTAGCAACCAATAAGTGAAACAGATTTGTTGTGAAAATCAAAATGCAAATGAAGGTGAACTGTAGATTGAAAGGCTGTGCTGAGGCGAACCGGTCTGCCTCCAGGGCTTAAGATTAGTTACAGTAAATTCCTTATATATTACAATTTTTCTTTCATCTCTTTTTCTCTCTGTTTTTTTATTGTCTTCCAGGTTTACTCCATATGAGTGGTACAACCCACATCCATGCAACCCGTCCTCGACTCTCATACAGAACAATTTCACTTTACTCAACAGTTTCTGGTTCGGCGTTGGAGCTCTCATGCGGCAAGGTATTAAGCTCACAGTCAAAGCCATTATAATCAATATTTTGATTGTAACAAATGATTTCTTGCATGTGAAAAGGGTTGCTAAAGTCCTCCAAATTATGCAACAAAATACTTTTCTATATCCTGGCTAGAAACATTTTCTTTCCCTGGAGACCAGTACAGACCTAAAAACGAGCCACTGGACTTAAATTAAATCAGATGGTTGGAAACACAACTTCAAAAAAGTGTTGCAAGGCAACAGCGAAGGCCACTGGCTTCTCCCTGTACGGCTGTCTATTGAACTCCCTGTACACCAGTACAGAGTGTACTGACACTGTAAACTCTCTGCAACCACACCCTGTTAGAAGTCTTAGGAGTGGGCGGCCAGTAAACCGACTAATGACACCAGTCCACAACAAAATGGCGACGTTGATGAAATGTTGTCAGAAATGCATCAGTTTTGATAAATAACTGATAAACCAGGTTCAGCGTCCTGCTGCACTGTATGAGCATTCCCATCTTACTCTCCATCTCATCACGCACAAGCTCAATCAAGTTTAATATTGTATGTCATATTCTTCATGTGTGTGCCATGTGTGTGTGTATTCTATGTAACTTCGCTCTTTACAGCGGCCTTCAGCTTTCTGTGGGATGCTGTGCCTGACAGTAAGTGCACCCTTAAACGCAGAACGCTGCTGTTAAACCAACCCTCCAGAAACAGTTTTACTCTAAAAGCGCTGTTCAATGTTTGTCCTCTCCACCCAAAAAAAAAAAAAGGTTTAAAAATAGTCACAAATGTGTCCAAACCTGGAACATTAAATGTGGCAAATGTATTCTGCAATTCCTCATTCCCTCTTTTCTCTGCACAGAGGAGAAAATATAAATCAAGCTGCTCATTCTGCTGTTTCATTACTTTTTTTTTTTTTTTATGTTCCCTCATTTGTTTTGAATTCAGATTTCTGTTGTTCTGTCGTCTTTGCTTCTTCTAATTTGCACTTTTTTTTGTTTTGTTATGTTCGTTTTTTGACTATGATATATTTCTTTTGCAACTTTGTGCTTTGGACCAAACGGGTCGTGCAGAGGAAGAAAATAAACACACTGTTTGAAGAGTCGCACAATTTTCTACCCTCTAATCCTCAATCGCTCTCTTCTTCCAAACTTTATCTTTTCAGCTCCTTTTTTTTTTTTTTTTTAACCTTTTGTCCCTCATCACTTTGCTTCCAGGCTCCGAGCTGATGCCCAAGGCTCTGTCCACTCGTATAGTTGGGGGTATCTGGTGGTTCTTCACCTTAATCATCATCTCCTCCTACACGGCCAACTTGGCTGCCTTCCTCACGGTGGAACGAATGGACGCACCCATCGACTCGGCGGACGACCTGGCGAAGCAGACCAGGATCGAATACGGGGCAGTGAGGGATGGATCTACCATGACCTTCTTCAAGGTAAAGTTGGTGTAAGCTGCTGCATGTTACTCCCAAAATAAGTTAAAGTTGCTTTAGACTTTATCAAAGCCACAACATAAAAAGCAATAGTTGAAAATGCTATGCAGAAGTTCCTGTATTGCAACAGATGATATATAGTATAATTTTCCAAATTTAAACACATAAAATACTTTATTATTGTTGTTCTGCAATAAAATGTTGTAAACATGCAGAAAGCAGGTGCAGACACGAGACTCAGCTGAGGGGCTGGCAAGATATTTATTCGGAAAATAGTTGAAGGGGGTTGAAAGGTGGTGAAGGGTGGGGGAGCAGGTAAGACGGCGTCCGGCTGAAGACTGAAGGTCTGAGGTTGTACTCTGGCAGATGAGGAGGTTAGTGAGGGCTGGATTACTGGTCCGGCTCGAGGGATCACATTGATCAATCTGGCGAGGATTGAAGGGCGAGGCGCAGCACTTTGGAGCAGTTGGAGATGAGTGGTCAGGTGTGTAGGAATGCCAGGAGCCAGGAGAGGTAGACACGTCCACAACACGCACACGCACACGCACACACACACAGACACACACATACACACACACAGTCAAACTGGGGCGGAGGAGACACAAGGGAGAGAGAAAAAAACGAACTCACAGCCTGAGCCATAACACTTTTTACCTGTCCCATCCCACCTCTAATTATATCATCTCAAGTGCACCATCTTACAAACAAAAGATAGACCTGTGATTACTCCTGATCAACATGTGCTGTGTTTTTGTATTTAAACGAAGGATATAAAGGTTTCCTAGAACCAAATGAACCAATGTTAATATCAACCACTGAACACAACAATCTCAATAGTGTGTCCTCGTCTCCGGTGAATGTGTAGCTCACTCCCACGTGTTCATCTGAGTGAATTCAGTCTGTTTAGAGTCTGTCAGCTCTGTCATACCTCGACATGTAAGTATGACTCAGTGACAGTTCCTTCATTTCCATAAAATCAGGGTCATGTTGGTTCCCTCAGCTGCTCTCACATCCTGTGTCTTTGCCAAACCTCCCATGAAAAAGAGAGACAGAGGCAGAGGAAAAAAAAGACTTGCATTTACTTTCCTGAAAGACGCCGTTGATGCATCAAGATGCATCAAGAGTGTTCCTGTGTTTTTGGAGGTGTCTGTGTTGACATATGTGAACCTGTTAGTCTGAATTATATGATGTATCAGTGTACTGATGTCCTCAAGCAGGGCTGTCACTCCCCCCCCCCCCCCCCCCCCCACACCCCCACCACCACCACCCTCACCTCCCCCCACTCTCCTTGCATCCTGGTGGCTCAGCAGGGGTGATCCATGCAGGGCTTTATCCTCCCAGATTGCAGCCAGCGATTACGGCTGCCTGGATAGGAAGAAGCAGGCTGTGTTGATGGCTTGAACAAATTGAATCAGCTGGAGGAGATTTAGAACACAGCTGTCCCATTTTCTCTGACTGAGCAAGGAGGAACGCGCATACACACACACACACACACACATATATATATATATATACACCAAGACGCACTCATAGATAAAGTCCCACACATCCTTCTTTAAAACTTAAACATGTTTATGATAGTATTTGAAATATAGTTCAGTACATGTAGCCCTATGTTTTTGCACAGTGAACAAATGTCTAACACCAACTTTTGGCTGCTTGGCTCCTTTGGCAGAAATCAAAGATCTCCACCTATGAGAAGATGTGGGCGTTTATGAGCAGCAGGAAGAACACGGCGCTGGTGAAGAACAACAAGGACGGCATCACCCGGGTCCTGACGACAGACTACGCCATGCTGATGGAGTCCACCAGCATCGAGTACATCAGCCAGAGGAACTGCAACCTCACGCAGATCGGAGGTCTCATAGACTCCAAGGGCTACGGGGTGGGAACACCAATCGGTAGGAAGAATGAGACGCCGCCATCTTTGTCACTTAGTGGAGAATGGAAACGGTTACTGTCGTGCTGTCGTGTTACTGTCATGGAGCAATCACTACAAAACGCTCCATATATACTGAGGTTGTACTCTGAGAGAAAAGTTAGAAATCAACACAACACACACACACAACTCCAACACGGACTAAGTGTGAGACTGTTTTATGATTGTATAAATCTCGCTGCTTGTTCTCTGGTAGACTGCACACATTCAGCCTCTTGGTTAGTTTAAAAAAAAAAAAAAAAGAGCCACAGACAAATATACAGTGTACCGTACAAATCACATTCACCCAGGCCCCTCTGGGAATATTAAAATGCACTGAAGGCCGTTTGACAACCGTGTTACTAGAATAGAATTTTAATAGAATCTGTGTAAATGCCGGGTTTTGTACTGTAGATACAAACTTCAATTTATTTCGGAATTTGCATTTTTCATTTTCCTGGAGTCCAAGTTGCAGAAGCTGCTGTCCTGTATTCTCGACATGCAAATGCACCTCCATCTAACAGCTCTGCCAGATGTTCAGTGCAAATGTTCATGTGAGATTTCAGGCCAGTGTGGTGGATTGAGAACTTAAACTGGATGCAAATCAACCTGCCGGGCCGTGTTTGCAGTCGGTTTTCTTAAGCAGTGCTTAACATATTGTGTCGGTGTTTTTTGTTTTTCCTCTCTAGATGTTTTTTTTGTTTTTAATTTATTCAGTTCTCCTCCTTGACTTTCTAACTCACTGTAGAGCCAGTTGATTTTTTTTTCTTTAAAAACAAGTACATGCCCCACACCTGCATAAGTTGCACACATCCATACCCAGATGTTTACAGGGCATGCGTTTAAATGTGTGGGCACAACAATGGAAATAATGAAGGTGGAGCCTCCCCCATCCAGTTCATTTCTGTAATCACCATGAGATGTCCACTGGCTGTCAATATCTAGGACATAGCCTATAGCAATTAGTACCTCTTTTATCAACTCTATTCTTAGGTAAGATGTGGAGTCTTCAAAAATATTTGTCCGCAAGGAAATAGATATTTCTGGAAACCAGCCTTCGTGATGAGCCCTTTCTATTCTATTGTTCTAGCTGCTCTCACTGGAGAAAATATTCCACAGCGTTGGAAAGAATGATGGCCACCACAGTGCTGGAGACGGCAAACGACCGGAGCCTCCTCAGAGAGTTAAGCTGGCTCTGACCCCTCTTGTACAAGGCAGCGGTGTTGCTAATCCGGTCCGCTTTGATGTTGAGCTGCAGCGGGTTCAGCCGACATCATTTCTCTGTATTTAGCCTCTTCTCCCTGCTGGTACAGGCTACAAGAGGAGGAAGCTAGGAAGCCATATCTAAAGGCAGAGACGTAAAGGGTGAACACGAAGGGAGACAGGTCAACGCCTGTGATGCACCTGTCACATACTCCATCTGACCCCTCTAGTGTCACTTTAATCTGTGCCTGCATGTCCATGAGCCTCAAACAAAGTAGGTCAGGTGAACCACTGACCAGGGAAATGATGCCCCCCCCCCCACACACACACACTCTGATATATAGCTGGTAGGCAAACCGCAGGGGGTCCAGTGACGGCTTTACAAGGGACCAGTCACTCCAATTACTTCATGAGTTTTTTGGTTGTTTGATGCATTTTGCAGGATGCTTCAGGTTCAGCTTTGGGTTAAAGGACATGCTGAAGAACTAAACACAGCTGAGTGCTATACGCTGGTTCTACTCTATTCAGCTCTATTCTCACCCGATCAACAGGTGATCCTGGATGTTTTAGGCCCTGGAGTCTCACTGGAGATCTCTGGTCTGCTTATTGCCGGAGATGGTTCTCATCCCACTCCGCGCCTCCTTCCCCTGAGCAGTTGTCACATGTTTCTGTATCTGCTTCGTCTCCTCCCCGCACTCATTTCTGGAGGCTCTTTTCTTCTCATCCAGAGTCTTTGTCTCCCAGTCAGTCACCTCAGGCAACCTCCGAGTTGGAACATCAGTTCGTACTCCTGATACAACCAAATACCCGCTTGTGTATTGTATTAAGTCATGTCAAGCATTCATAGGGCTCATAATCAGAAATCACAAGATTTTTGATAAATACTTTACCATCTCCAAACTCACAATCCTTAGACATAGAGTAGACGCCAAATACAGGAAGTGAAAAAAATTAGTTTTCTGTCCTCAAGATACATGTAGATGTAGATTCGTGTTTCCTGTTGCACCCACTTAATTCAGTTTTTGTAGCAAAGGCTTAAATTTCAAAATGCCTATTGTTCACTAAAACACCGTAAACAACATAGAAAGCAGGACTTCCAAGCCATATTTTATTAATGGGGCATTTAAAGGTATTATTAATAGAGACTGACAAACAAGTTACAGCATATTGGTGCATATTGACTTTCTATTGGTCTTCTCCCTCCCCAGGTTCTCCATACAGGGATAAAGTGACCATTGCCATCCTTCAGCTGCAGGAGGAAGGGAAGCTGCACATGATGAAGGAGAAGTGGTGGAGAGGCAACGGCTGCCCGGAGGAGGACAACAAGGAGGCCAACGCTCTGGGCGTGGAAAACATCGGCGGCATCTTCATCGTCCTGGCCGCCGGCCTGGTTCTCTCTGTGTTTGTGGCCATCGGAGAGTTCATCTACAAGGCCCGCAGGAACGCAGACATAGAGGAGGTGAGTGGAGGAGGGCGAGCAACTGCTGCTCTGCAGCTGAGAGAGTGATGATGACTAATGAGTGGATTAGACTTTACTCTCCGCTGTGTGTGGAAACACGGGTTTGTAATGAGATTTTTAGTTTTTTGCAAGTTGTTTGCTCGATCAAAATGTATTTACTCAGAATCATATTTGCACTTGCTGGTGTCGTCTTTGCAACAAGAAAGTCACGTGATGGATTGATAATAAACTCACATGTCTCACGATCACGCACAGTAAGAAAAAAAGGGGTTAAATATAGCAAAGAAATGTTTGGCAGCTTCACATGACAGACCAGCGATTCACACGATTAGTTTCTTTGCTTTGTCTTGGTTTTTCATCCTTTATGATTTTATGATGTTTTCTTTTCTTTTCATTTTTTTTCTTTTTACAAATCTGTTTTGATCTCTTTTGTTTTCTTCTCCATCCTCCTTTTTTTTCTTCTCTGCATGCTTTCATCAGGCCTTTTGTTTCTTTTACGGGGTGCAGTCCCGTCAGTTTCAGCGGCGTGGATCCACCTCCTCCTCTGGCACCTCCTTATCAACTGATCTGGAGAGCGGCAGGCTGCTGGGGGATGACACAGAGTAGCCGTGGCAGCACATTTACAACTCGTAACACTCGCTAGACGATAGGTTTGTAACCAGGTGTTGTAACCTTCTCTCTGCCCCTGTTGGAAATACCACAGTATAGCTGCACCTATCTCAAACCAATCCCAATTACTAACACCATATTACCTTCAGTGGCCGACCCCTTGTGCACATTGCTTCCTTGCAAATGTCTGTTTCTTGTGATGTCAGTGATCTTTCTGGTACCATCCTGAGACAACTCTCCTGTTGTATATAAAAAACACTTGTACTGAGGAAAGCATAAAAAAAATATTGACTCATGTTCTGGGAAAAACCCAGGACATTTGGAGAGATAAAAACATGTCAGCCGTTTGTTTCATTTTGAGCTCAAAATGATTAAAAGTCATTATTTGCTAAATGTGGCATTAAAGTTCATAAAAACAGTGTAGGGCTCTGCAGCGCTCCCCTGGTGTAAAGCTGTTCTTTTCTCTCGCACTGGTTAAGTAGCCTTCTAACACCGGCCCAAATGTTGTGCCTCATTCATCGGAGCCTCAGTAGGCATCTGTGTGTACTTTAGAGGCAGACTTTGAGTGCCTTTTGGGAAATCAAAAGATAGGAAAAGTTATTTGAATATTTTCCTCCTCATTAAGCTCTTTGGTAGACTGGTTTGGTTGGCTGAAATTTGGATAACAGTGATGGAACAACATTTTGGCTTTAATACGTCCCCTGACACGGATCCAAAAGCCGAGAGTAAAGTTGTAGTTTCGTATATAACTACTGGTGACGGCAGGACGTTTTATTAACTGAAGTAATGATGGATGGGATCACAGAGGGATACAGTCCTCACTGCACCTCTGGACTGACCTTGTCATCCAGTCATAAGATCTATCTCTCTCCAGAATGTAGTGAAAAGAAAATATTGAATTACTGTCGTTAAAGGATATAAAATCAGTGCATGTAAGGCAATCATTTAAGATATCTTATTCAATAAGACCCGAATCAACACTTTTAATGCGATGTTTAAGGTCTGTGTTGTTTCTGTGCCCAGATGTGAATCTCAAACACAACAACCTTTAATTGTGGGATATTACAAGTAAATTAATTTCATACTTGATTTAGCTCTGGTTAGATCAGTATGGTTTAGGTTTTCACAGTGTTCGACAAAGTCCAAAAGAATAAAGCTATTTAATCTGTGTTTTTTGCTCCTCTCTCTTAGTTTCTGAGGGGTGAGTTTGCTACGGGGTAGTTTATGAGGAAAGGTTCTTAACTGATGGCGCGTGTTGCTGGTGTCCGTGGGAAACCCTGCAGGAAGCCATATTCCTTTGAGAAGCCTTAGGCGAAGCCTGAGGATGAAAGAGGAAGACCTTCTGTGGTCCCTGGATGGAGGACCGACAGATAAAAAATGGGATGACTTTGTGCTGCGGAAGATAATTTGCAAAATAAATTTAGTTAGCACACGGAACAAGGAGGAGAGCAAAATAAAAGGCAAATAAACACGATTGAAGATTAATGAGTTCAAAGCAATGTATTATTGCGCAAAATCAAATAAGCCCGGGGCTTCTCATTTCAGATGGCCCCCTCTTTGGTAATTTCAGACAATTAGCATATTATGAATTCATAGCTCCCTGCATTAGGATGTTGCACAGCAGACGCTGTCCTTCATCTTTTGTCTATGTAATTGGATTTTGTGATGAGACAACACACTTTACATGTCTTTTACAACTCGTTTGCCAGGTCAGACTTTAGATTGACTTGAGTCATTGTCTGGCTGCTCACATTCAGCTGCAGGCAACCTCCCAGAAGCCACTGCTAACTTGCAAGGCTGAATCAAAATTGCCTTTGATTATATCTTATAATTTTATGGATCGGCAGTCATTTTCATGCACATTCAGACACGGTCTTTAAACTCATGGCTGAAGCTCTTAAAAGGTCATAATGATTTTATTGGAAATCATCTTTATTGGTGTCTGAACCCGGGCTTTCCATTGTTGTTCTCTTTGACAGTGCGTGTCTTTTAGCTCCATGATGGAGGAGCTGGGTATCTCCCTGCAGTGTTACAAAGGCATCCGGAGGAGGTCGCGACCCCACAGCGGAGCAAGGTCAGCTTGCATCTTCTGTCAACCCAAACGCACTGCAAAGAGGGAGGGAGGGAGGCGGGACTCCAGCACTTGAGTGCACAGAGACTGCTGTTTGATCTCTCTGTTCTCTGTTCCTCTGAATGATATGAAGTTGTTCCCTCATCACTCCTGTCTTTATACTGTATGTGTACGGATAATACATTAAGCATTATACTGTAGATGTAGTTTACAAAGTCTTGGCCTTGTATCAACGTTACTAATGTTAAAACAGCTGATGAATGAAAGCTCTCTCATAGTGAAAACCATTGCTGTTCCCTCATGGCTGTAGTTCACTGTTGTGAGCAGTTTGCAGAGTTGAATCTGCACACTTTATAGACACCCCCACTGTGTAAATGTTCGACAACTTCACTGATTTTCAGAGTAAAAAGATTTTTGCATTTTTTTAAACTGTTGTCGATTTGTTGTTGTTGTTGCTCTATGTGTTTGGCAGCAGTGTGTGTGTGTGTGGGTGTGTGTGTGTGTGTTGTGTGTTTCTTTGTGTCCCTACTGGCAGGTAGCTTCAGAGCGGATTGCAGAGCCAGCCCTTGCCAGTGAAAAAAAAGATAAGGACCTCCAAGGAAAGTCAGGAACACACCTGCTGTTTCATACCCTTCAAGTGCCAACATTACAGACATCAAATCACACACACACACACACACACACACACACACACACACACACACACAGATGCACATAGCCTCACGAACACTTGTGATCATGAAATATTGCTGTCTGTAGGCCAGAGAAAGGATAGGATACACGGAGAAGGAAAGGACAAGATGAGAAGCAGGGTTTTTTTTATGTGTGAAATTCTCAGGAGGTCAAAGACAAAACACAATTTCCTTGTTCCCCTGGGAACAGTCTTGTTTTTCTACAAGTCATTTTTTTTTTCCTGTTTGCTGTTGTTGAATTTGAAAGCCTAAAGGGGGGGGGGGGGGGGGGGGTCGTAGCTCCCAGTAGTGACAGTGGATCCCAGTGGATGTGAGCATGGGAAAAGAGTCGAAAGCTTCTGCTACAACGAGTCCTGCTTCTCTTGAAGTACTTTACAATCTTGGCATACGTGTTATGTACAGTAACCTGCCTACCAGCAGCTTTAAAGCACTTTATGATGAATTATGATCCATAGATACAACCATCATATTAACATGATACCTTTATTTTGGAAGTCCAGCACATTCCTACAAAAGTTCCTCATAAAAAGTAGAGTTTAAGGAATGAATGCTTATGAAAACTTCATTTAAAACTAATTTACATATTCAGCCTTTTCTGTAATCCCCACTCAAACAAACACGTTGAAACCAGGAAGATCTTTCACCTGACAGCAGCGTGTTGACAGCACGCTGGCCTTGACCTCCATTGTGCAGGGAAGTCAGCATGAGGAATGACAATGTTCTCATCATCCTCAGCACAATTACGCGTCAGCAGCAGGAATACAGAAAGCCCCGGTGGCAATCATCACTGACTGACTCACTCACACACGCCCCTACGTGAATTTGAATTGAGCTCCCCTCATCAGGATCTTGCAGCAGGATAATAATCAACACCGATGCCTGAACGCACACGAACACATCAGGCTGACATCGGCACGCGAGCAAAACGAGCAAACGGTTGTAATGACGTTAATATTTTCGCCTGGTGGTTTCAACTGTGTCCTGTGTTTTCATGCATCAGAAGCTTCCTCAGGCGCATTTTTTATTTTTTTATGTCCTCAGGGTGAAATGAATGAATCACAGAGGAAGAAGAAAAGTTCGCTCATGCTCTTTGTATCTCTGCCACCTCTTGCCCAACCCGTTTAATCTCTCGCCCTCATCAGCACCTACTTTCAGAGACTTTGTCCTTCTTTTACCCCCCTAGTCTTACTGCACACCTGCCCTATACTCTACACTGTCAGTGGACTGGACGTGTTGTATGTGTTCTTATGGAAAAGTCTCATTTTCAAAACAATCCCATCAGTAAAATCAGAATCAAAATAAATAATAGAATCATTCAACACACACAAATGCACAAAAATTATACTGACAATATCACCATGAATCATATATTAGTCAGAAACGAACTATATAGAGGGAAGGAGAAGGACGACACTAGCTGTTAATGGAGCACCGTAAGCATTAAATCGTAATACATATCATTATCAATCATGTCAGAATCTCAAGTCTCAAAACTGACCTCTGATTGCCAGCGTTTACCAGCTAATGCAGTGACATTTCAAACAGGAAAGAGCAATAAATGGATATAAATGCGTTATAAATTGCTCAAGTCGGAGGTTTTGTTGTGACACTCCTCTCGGTGGATTGTG